ACTTCATTCATCTCCTTACCTGGAATACCTTTGGTTTTGTCAATTGATTCCCAAACTCTTGAATGGATTCTAGGCATGCAGGACTGACTGTCTTCTCCCACTTGAGTGCATTATCTACCCTAACAACTCTAGCAGCAGCCTCCTCTTTCCTGATGGGCCTTTATTACAAACTAAACTTCTTCCCCTTCCATGACCCTGTTCTTTTCAGCCTCTTGGCCTACGTTCCCAGTGTTCCCTCCCTGTAAAACACCTTCCCTGGGGACATCCATATAGGCTATTGATCCTCCAAACCAGGCCAGGTCCAAAAGAACTGATTTTTTTCCTTCTAGACACCTGACATAGTGGCTTATCATCTCCTACCTTGTAAAAATGAGTTGCTTACATTTACTTTTCTTTCAGCTAAGAAGAGTCCCTTAAAAACCAAGGGCCAGGTTTGTTATGCTTTTCATCATCTTGATCTCCAGTCCAGAGCCACATTCATGATATCACAAATATTTACTGAATGAATATTCAGAGACCCATTGAAGGAGAATATGGCATAGTGTGATTTAAGTGCCAGGGGAACCTAGGGGAGGAAGTATTTAGGTGAGCTGACCTCATATTTGAATTTAAGGATTTTAGAACTTTGAGCAAAAGATGATGGAAATGGAAAGTTCGGACCAAGGGAGCAACATGAATAAAGGATTGAAGAGGCGAAGCATAAAGATTTTTTTTAAAGGCAATTTATTCAGCTGAAATGTGAGAGGTGCAAAGGGTGGGTTTTAGGGCTGAAAGGGGGCCAGATTATGGAGGACTCCGAAGGAATTCCGAAAGAACCCTGGGCTTAGTGAGAAACTCAAGTGGTGTTTGAGCAGGTCAATGATCCAGTTAGATGTGATTGATTGACTGCGCTGGGCTGAGGACACAGGATAGAATCAGGGATGGGAAAGTTCCAGAATGTGATTGTGTATCCAGGCAAAAGTCATGCTGGAACGTATAACACAAAGAGATGAGGGAAGTGATTACCCAGGGCTGCCCTGGTGAATGGGTTCAACGTCCTTATAAAAGAGACATCAGAGCTGCCTGGACCTGTCATCTCTTCTGCCACGTGAGGCACATCTGTGTGTCCTTCTGCGCCTCCACCTCCCACTGCGTGAGGAGGAAACAGTGGCTGAGCCTTCGGAGAGTCTGATGGTGCCTTCATCTTGCCACAGAACTGTGAGGAAACAATGTCTGCTCTTTCTAAAAATCACCCGTTGGTGGTAATCTGCCGTACACAGAGCAAACTACAACAAACCAATAAGGCCTGGGATAGGGACAACAGTGAGGGGTTGTTGAACTATAGAGGATGCAGAGGTGAGAAAACACAGAACGGGACAAAGCGGAGAGAGAACTGTCATGGAGAAATGGAGGGGGACTAGTCTCCAACCTGGACTCCGTGGAGAGAATTCAGGGGGTCCATGAACTAGGACAGAAAGACGCACTTCGCCTTCAGCTGAACTCTAAATGCAGCCTGCATGAATTACGACTCGGCAGCAAAGTCCACTAGCATTCAGCTTTATCAGGCCAGCATAAGAAAACAGTATTCGGAAGTGACTAATAGAAGTTGGGCATGTAGCCCATACCTGTAATCCTAGCCATGAAGAAAAACTTCAAGTTTCAGGCCAGTCTTGGCTACACAAGATCTGGTTTTAAATAGACTAAAAATTTAGTAACACCTTTAACAAAAATAGTAATTTAACAGGAAAAACGTTTTTCAGATCTTAGTCTGGCCGTGGTGGTGGCCACTTTTAATTCTGGCACCCAGGAGACAGAGGCAGGTGGGTCTCTGAGTGAGGTCAGCCTGGTCTACAGAGTTCCAGGACAGCAGAGGAACCCTGTCTCAAAGTAAAAAACAAAAAACAAAACAAAACAAAAAACAACTTAAAGCCCAAAACTATGTTCCGGGACTAAGAAGAAAAAGCAGTAAGGACAGACAAGGTCATCAGGTGGACTTTGGAAGTGTGTGCACTTCTGTGCCCACCAAACTCCAGCAGCAAGGAACCCAAACACCACCAAGTCCTCTGCCTTTGTTTTCTGTTCTGTTCGTCCTCCCACCCGAGGCACTGGAAACAGTTCAAAGGGGATCATCTGTCTGGTGTGCCTCGGACAGAGGGCTTTCTCAGACACAGCAAATGCTGAAGCTCGGAGAGTTTGAAAGACACTGCAGTAAAGCTCACTGCTCTATGAGCCCATCAAATCAGACTGTATAACGTTATATCAAATGTACTTACACTAGGGAAAACAGCCGAGCGTGGTGGCGCACGCCTTTAATCTCAGCACTTAGGAGGCAGGGGCAGGTGGACCTTTGTGAGTTCGAGGCCAGCCTGGGCTAC